TTTATTAACCTCTGTATAATCAGTTACATTTCTTATGTCAAACAACCTTGCTTTACTCTCCGAAACGACGACAACTGCATATGTTATTTTATCATTGGTCTCTCTCTGTTTCTCTATGATATTTGTCATGAAATTGAATTGTGCATTCAAATTTAGGCCCTCGGTGTTTTTGGTAGCGTCAAGGATAAAAATATGAACCTGTTCTTGCGTTTCCTCTGAAGGAATTTTTGCTATTAATAAAAGAACAAAAATATCAATCAGGCTGCATACAGTAATAATATATCTGACATTTGATGGGAAGATTTTAATTACAAAGGTGTAGCTCGCTATTTGTATGCAGGCTTAAATGTTAATGAAACTTCAAGCATATTGTTAATTTTAAAACCTATCTACATAAAATTTGCCATATGAATCTAGTTCTTACTTTCCAGTATCTCTATCAAATTGTTTTCTACAGTTGGCAACTCATAAGGCGATTGAACATGGATCAAATCATCTTCCGTTGATGCCAGGTTTGAAATAGCAGTGTTTGGGAATTCTTTTCCAATACCCACAATCACAATCTTATTTCCAGACTCTTTCCATTTGGAAAATTCTTCCACTATTTCAAAATTAGATATTAGGCTATACAGTTGGAAATGCCATGGTTTTTTTCTATAATGCTATTATATTGAACAGTTAATAATGAAGCCAATATAACCAGATCATTAAAAGTGTCTTGAAAATAAATGTAATTTCTGTACGAAATAGCTAGTGTATTGGTCTGTTTTACAATAGGCCTACAAGTTCAGTTTGCTTGCGTACTATTTTTTGTTAATATTACGTGTTTAAAAAATCTTCTGGATCATGTGTTGCAAATTATTAATGCTATACTCTATACGTTAAGCTTTTCCAATACAAAAATATATTTACGTTCGAAGTTTCTGTTTTTTACATATGCTGTTATAGTCATAAATTATTTACGCTATTTTTGAAGATAAAATTTTTAAAGTAATTATATTATATATTTTATACTTAGAAATATTTCAAACCACCTTATCAATCATATATATATATATATATATATATATATATATATATATATACATATATATATATATATATATATTGCTGCTTCATTGAAATCACATTTTTATCAAGTTTATAGATAAAGGTTTTAAATTATCAAAACGGTTTACAATTTTCTTATATATATATATATATATATATATATATATATATATATATATATATATATATATATATATTCAAAGGTACTATGCAATTATACAAATAATTAATACAACTTCTTTTAAAATTAAAATAATATCGATTGATAACATATCGAGTCAAAATGTAAGATATGAATTTTTTATTATAGTTAGTACTTGTACTTTTAGTTTATATTTACCATCGTCTAAAAATTCTGCTTTTCCATTTGAAATAAAAGTGATTGTGCATTGAGCTGAAGTTTTCTCATTCTTTTTTGGACGGCATTCTTCCCATGACATTATTAAGTGTAATAACTTTTTTACGCTTGATGCAGCTATATAATCGTTTTTTTTCAAGATCTGTAAATAAAATCTAATTAACACACTTATATAATTGTGTATGTTTGTATGTGTGTGTATATATATATATATATATATATATATATATATATATATATATATATATATATATATATACGTATACTACCTGCATATCCGTGCTGCTTCGCCACGGTGTGGATATGGATACTACCTCAGAGTTTACCCGCTTATACCCGTTCTTCGCTACGGTGTGGATATGGATATTACTTCAGAGACTACCGCTTTGCGCGCTTCGCTAAATTTGGGGATATGGATATTACCTCAGAGTTTACCTCGCTGCGCTCGGATTTTCCGTCAGCGCACAGCGCTGCGCGCATGTGTCGGTAGCACTTCGGTGTGAATATAGAAAAAAAGGCCTAACGCTCTCTCTCAGCACAGACAACTTTCTTCCCTTAGACCCGACTCGTAATCTAAACCGCCGCCGAATGACACGTTTAACCGGGCGTCCGCGCCCAGGGAGAGATTTTCAAATGCTTCCAAATTCTATAGTGATGACTGACTGAAACACTACCACCAGCGTTATATTATACTAGCTGCATACCCGTGCTCCGCCACGGTAAATCTTTTTTAAATGTAGTAACTTGAGAACAGAACAAAACTAAACACTACACAAACACAACACAAACACAAAAGAAAACACAAACACAATGCAAACACAAACGAAAACACAAATGCAACACACAAACACAAAAGAAAAAAAAACGCAAATAAAAACACAAATGAAAACTCCAACACAATGCAAACACAAACGAAAAAAAAACACAAACGAAAACACAAATGCAACACACAAACACAAAAGAAAAAAACAAACGCAAATAAAAACACAAATGAAAACTCCAACACAATGCAAACACAAACGAAAAAAAACACAAACGAAAAAACAAACACAACACTCATAACATAAACACAAATTAAATGCAAACATAAACGCATAGTGCTCACAGTTTAGCCCGTGGCGCCTAACCGCACCCTGTTCAAGCGCCGGCGGACGTGGCTTATTCAGTGAATGACTATAAAACCCCCAGCTTGCCGCAAAATGAAAGCTATATTAATAATTATTTAACAGTACGTTCAGTGTTCGTTCAGTGTATAAAATAAATAAAAGGCAGTTTTTAAAATATACGTGTTTTCCCTACCATATTGCACTTCATTGTTTTTATCAGTACTTTAAATTTACAATAGAGTTTCATGACTAAAACCATTACGCACCTAATAAACGTGATGACGCGTCTATAACTGTGCGTAATAGTTGATTAAAAATCCTAATTAGTAAACAGGACGTTTTGTGAATAAATAAATAACAGATAGCCTTTTATCAATCCATGCTATATATAATATTCCAACAATAATTTCCTCTTACAATAATGTCCTTTCACATTAATGTTGCATTCACATTTTGCTAATTATATTATTACAATAATAATTCCCTCTTGGAGATTTTGCATTCACATTTTTGTATTAGCGTGAGTTGAATTTATTTTAAATAACCTCCCCTGGCAAAATTACAAAAGAGTTTAATTAATTAAATAATTAATTCGTCCCTACTATTATAAAAATATATCCACTTTTTCTAGGACTCAAAACGAAAATGATATTTGACATTGATCAGTTTAATATGTTTTAGCAATTTGCATGTATTTAATATTTTCTTTACGTTATGCGTAAGAGTAAAAACAGTGACAACTATAAAATAAATTTAATTCGTTATATAAACAAACCCTACTCTATAACAAATATTAAGACACTGTGATGTAAGTAAAAAGCACGACAAGTGACGTGTTTACTTGTATGGTTCAAACATTTATAGCGATGACTGACTGACATATATATATATATATATATATATATATATATATATATATATATATATATATATATATATATATATATATATATATATATATATATATATATATATATATATATATACGTATTTGATTAAGATCGTAGTTTGATAGATACATACCTTTTCAATTACTAATATATCAGTTTGGTTACGTAAGTCAAACAGCCCGGCAGAGCTACCCATAACATTGACAACTGCGAATCTAATTTTGTCATTTTTCTTTTGCAGTTTCTTCATTGCACTAATCAAAAATATGATTTCAATATCTGAATCTCTTAACAGTTTTTTTTTAGATGAATCAGTCACAAAAATCACAATTTTCGTTTCGACATTTTCTTCATGTTTTTTTTGAGAATTCTCGTCTGTTATTGTAAAGGAAAGATGGCCGTTAAAAAGTAAAGATATTTTTTTTAATAATAATATATTGCATTATATTGATTCAATTGCATTTTAACCATTTTTATAAAAAAATGAAAAACCTAACCAAGCAATCCATGTACATTTGACTTAGCGAATGCTTCTAATTCGTGCAAAAATTGACGCCCAATTAATTTATCTAAATTTTTAATGGACTAGTATTTCTTAATCTTACCATCCAATTTCTCAAGAAGTTGGCTTTTAATCGTTTCTAATTCATCAGGCGATTCAATAAAGATGGCGTTGTCTGGTGATGAAGCCAGGTCTGCTATCGAATTATTTTTGCCGTCTTTTCCGACTACGATTACAACAATTCCATTTTCTATATCTTTCCATTCTGTAACCTCGTCACCTGTTTAAAATTTAACTTCTGCGTAATTACCTATACAGATTTTTAACAGCATGTTTAAATTAGTATAGCGTATCTAAAATGTTAAGTACGGCGCCCTATTGATTTGACAAAATATATGATTGAAGTGTATTTGTGACATTACTACAATAACACGTGAATTTATTTTATGGACTTAAGTGTGTAGCGATTCTGATAAGAATATAATATGCATTCAATCGATTTGCATATCTCTTTGCTTGTATAGATTTTTACAGATCTACGAATTATCAGATTATACGTCTAGTTACAACTGCAGTATATAACAGAAATGTATTAACTATTTCAAAGTTGTGTTTTTGTTAATATTTTGTGTATGATTTTATGATTTATTAATACTTGCTAGTAATGTTTTCTAGTAATTACATCACAATTTAAAAACTGACATTTTATTTTTGTTCTGTTTATGCTACAGCAGTATAATTGTTTTCGTTTTTAATTAATAATTAACTTTATTCTTATGCTGTAATAGAATATAGTGTTTCTAGTGACAAAAAAAATGCGTTGTTAATGTAGTCCTACGTCTTTTTAATAAATCCATTCATAAATGCATAAAAAACTTGAAAATAAATATTTGATCCCTGTTAATTACCAATTATTTCTGTAATTTGATTTAAAAACGCATTGTTCTTTATGATTTTTTAATAGATGATTGATTTAGCTGTAATTATTTTATAGATTAGTAATTGTGTGAAATCATAGAAACAGTTTAAGTACATACATGTAAAGTCAGTATGAATGTTATCGTTATTTTTAACTCATTCGACTCTTGATTTTT